GTGCGCATTCCTGAGTACTTGAAGGATGGAGCACATTTTCTCCTGATTTAACAATGAACCTGCTCAACCTGTGATTCGACCGGTCAGCCTCTGGATTTTCTTGACGTTTCTAGGAGCTGACATGTTGAGTAGTGCTTGAATCTTTTATAGATTAATTTTTATACCTTCCGGGGTTAGCAAGATCTTGCCTGTTGTCGCTCCAAAGATACATTTCAGAGGGTTTAATTTCATATTAAATTTTTTGAGTATTTGGAAGGTTTCTTTTAAATCCTCAATGTGTTTTTTGGCCAACAGACTCTTAACTAGCACATTATCAACATACACTTCAACATTTCTTCTTTTTGGATTAGCAAAAACTATATCTATAAAACGTTTGTAGGTTGCCCCTACATTCTTAAGCCTAAAAGACATTACACTATAACAATATACCCCTTCACATGTAACAAAAAAAACTTTTTCAACATCTGTGGGATGCATCTTGATTTGATAATAGCCGAAAAACACGTCGAGGAAGCTTAAGACTCAGTGGTCGACTGCCAAATTCACTAGTGCATCAATTCTCTGCAGCAGGTACGCGTCTTTTGGGAAAGCTGTTTAGGTTGGTGAAGTCTACACACATCCTTCATTTTTTGTTAGTTGTAAGATCATCTCATTGGAGACCCATGTAGGATGCTGCACTTCTTGAAAATACCCGCCTTTTTCCAACTTTCGCAACTCTCAGATGGGTCCTGCTAGCGTCATGACTGAGCTTCTGATCTTCTGCTTCATGAGTCGAGTTGATGGATTGATATTCTATCTGGCAGACGACATCGATCGACACGCCAGGCATATCAGCGACCGTCCCTGCGAAGAGATTCTAATTTTCTTGGAGGGTCCGAATGAGCAGCTCCATCTGTTCTGCATCAAAAGCTTCACTCATCAGAAAATATTTACCTAGCTCTCCGTCGATAGCTAGGACCTCGAGGGTAGCCTCGTTGGTCTTTAGGCTACCTTCCTTTGAGTTATGGATGTCTATAGGATCGTGCTCCACGTTGCTTATGACTTGTAAGTAGCTGACTCAGGATTGTCCAGATCGTCTTGAATTGTGACGATCTTTCTGTTCCCAAGAAATTTGACAGTGCATGATCCGCTTTGAAATCATTCATGACCAGTTGACCAAATATAACGTTATATGTCGGAGGGAATCACACTATTTAATATTCTTTCCCACAAAGCACCTCAGAAGGTTCCCCAAACTCCTATTCACTACTTTCATCTAATTGTTAGTCTGCGGGTGAGCTGCTAAACTGAATTGAAGCTTGGTGTCGAGTTTCTGTCATATGGTTCTCCATAAGTGACTCGGAAACTTAACATCTCTAACAGAAATGATAGTCCTGGGTATCTCATGGACTCTCACTACCCTCCAGAAATACAAATCAGTGACATGTGATGCATCCACCATATGGTTCTCCATAAGTGACTCGGAAACTTGACATCTCTAACAGAAATGATAGTCCTGAGTATCTCATGGACTCTCACTACCTTCCAGAAATACAAATCAGTGACATGTGATGCATCCAACATCTGGTGGCAGGACACAAAGTACGCCATCTTAAAAAAATCTATCCATCACAACCATCATGGAATCTTTGTTCCACCATGTTCTCAAAGACCCACCAAAAAACCATGTTAACATCTACCCACAGGACCTTCGATATCGGTAATGGAGTGCAAAACCTTGCATTTTATCCCCTGGTTTTGGCCACATGACAAATCTGATATTGCATGTGTCGCTGCACATCACTCGTCAGTCAGGGCTAGAAAGTGTTCTCTCACGTGGGCGATTGTTATCCCAATCAGATTGTCCTACAAGTCCTAGAATATGATGGACTCCCTTGGTGAACATATAGAAATACACAACTTATTCTGGTGGAACAGGTAACCATAAGCTCCGTGATTCTTCTAGGTAGGATTCTACTGACACTGCTCCTAAATCCCTCTGAAATCTTCGTCTGCCTCGTATGGCTCCTTCACTACCTCAAAACCTACGACTCACGTTTACATCAAAGTGATCAGCAATTGATGGTTGCTCAGTGCATTTGCTATTCGGTTCTGGCTCATTGCCCTTCAGCTTGTTTTGGTTGTTCAAAAATTTCAAAGCCTCATGATCAGTGAAAAAAGTAATTCGTTTGTCAGTAGGCAGTCAGTAATTAAGAGATCTCACCATAGCATAGAACTCCTTGTACGTTGAATATTTCCTTCTGAACTCATTCAACATCTCACTGAAGAATGCTATGTGATGGCTTCCCTAGCTCCGTACTGCTCCGATCCCCACCTTGGAGGCATCGCACCCCACCTCGAACAGTTGATAGAAGTCTGGTAATGCCAAAAATAATGCCCAAGCCATCTTCTCCTTCAGTGTGTCGAAATTAGTCTGAGCTGAATCTGTCAACTGGAACTTCTCCCCTTTCAAGATTTTATTCAAGGGGGTTGTGACAGTGTTGAAACTCTAGATAAATCACTTGTATAATGATGCTAGCCTCAAAAACTTTCTTAGCTTGGTGAAAGATTGATTTGCGGTCAAGCTCATAATGGCCTCGATCTTTGTATGATTCATCTGAATGCTTGCACTAGATATGATATAACACAAAGAGTATATATATGCTATCAGGAAATGACACTTCTTTGGATGTGCGCATAGCTTTTCTAATTGCAAAACTTCCAAGACCGTCCCCAGGCACTGCAAGAGCTTCCCCTCAGATCTGTTGTATACCATTATATCATCAAAGTACACCACTATGAACCTCTCAATATGAGCCCGAAACACCTAATTTATCAACCTCATGAAAGTGATAGATGCTTTAGATAATCCGAAAAGCATGACTATCCACTCGTATAATTCATCCCGAGTGTTGAAAGCGGTCTTCCACTTGTCCTATGGTCTCATATGGATTAGGTGGTACTCGCTATGTAAGTCGATCTTGGAAAGACAATGGCTTCATGCATCTGATGCAAGAAATTGTCCAAGCGAGGTATGGGGAATATATATTTGATAGTAATCTTGTTAATGACTCGACAGTCAATGCACTTCCTTCAGGGTCTATCTTTCTCGGATACCATCAGGAAGGGGACCACATACGGGTTGGTACTCTCTCTAACCAAACCTGTCATGACGCGATCCTGTACCTGTCATTATAACTTTTCTTACCCTGCAGATCTCAATCTACAATGAGGCCGATTTGACAATATTGATCTGGGTGTGAGATTGAAGGAGTGTTGAATGTCCCTCAGTGGTGGCAATCACTCTGGAATCTGTCAGCCATCACGTCCTGGAAGTCACAAAGTAGTGGTTGTCGATATCTTAACTTCGTCCACAATCCCCTTTAGTAAAACCAAAGCCATTGCCAATGGAACCTTTCGAATCGACATGAAGGTGGCTCTCAAGACTACCTTCTCATCTGTGATGCCTATTCCTCCCGCGCCCTTGATGAATAAAAGCATGACGCGTCACCCATCCTTTTTAAACAGGACGAAGGAGTGCGGCTGCTCGTTGAAAGGTTGGAGCGACTAGCAGCAGCAAACAAAGAGGATTGAAGTAGTGGTAGCAAATCTGGACGGGGTAGGAGGTGCAGCAACAACAGTTAGGGCGTGCAAGATGGGTGACCACAAGCAAGCAAGGGAAAGGTAAAGGAAATTTGCGGGTAATCACCACCTCAATGTAGGATACAACAGAGTACCGTATGTCCTTGGATAAAGCCCTAGCAAGGAAGAAAGACATCAACGACAAAATTCATAAAAGCAAAAACTGAACCCTAAAATAAAAAATAACATTTTTATAATAGAAGATAATTAGGAGAGAGAAACCCCTCCCCTCAGATGACAACCCTAACCCACAGAGGGTTCAGTCGGCCACCTTGCAGCGACCTACTAAACCGGTTCAACCCACAACTAGTTCAGTCCTTAGGCCCCTAGCCCCACATCAAAAAAAAAAAAAAAAAAAAGTGAAAATTCTTGGAGACAATTAAGACTAATATTTTGCTCTAGTTCATAAGACATTGAACATGCTAAAGACCTTCAAACATAATCATTTCCCGACAAATTCAATGTTCGTCATTCTCTCGCATGTAATTTCTATCCCAAGAATCTTCCTTGCCCTCCTTAGTTCTTAAAGTCGAGTGTTGACCTTCATGGCTATTTCAAATCAATTGTGATTGAACACAACTAAAATAATAAAGGCCAAATGAACATCATTAATGCAAAATGCACTGTACAAATAAAACTCACTTAAATGTTGATCGTTTTACAAAATAGGCTAAATTGATATATGTAAAACAATAAAAATATCCAAAAATAGAACACTTGTGGCATAAAAAATGGTACAACTGTCATATCACAAAAACACCATCATCCATTTCATAAATTGAACTGCAACGGTGTGTCCAAAATGACAAAAATACCTAGCATAGAAACTTATATTACATGGGTCACTGCATGAAGGTGAAATGTATAATTTGAACACAAGCAAAGCAACAACACAAAATTGAGGAACACCAAAAAAGAAAAAAATCACAAGTCAAATCGATGGACATTGTTAATTTTTGTAACCAAATTAATTAAAATCAAGTACATAATTAAAAAATAATAATAGTAAATAATGTAAAAGAGTAACATAAAAATAAATTTAAGACATCTCGTAATAAACTTTTGGATTGCACCTTTTTGTGTGTGGTTGTTGTAGGTTAAAAGAAATTTAAACAGAACAGGGAAATGGAAAGAAACGAGTTGAATTTGTCAGCAAATTTAAAAGCTAAATTTATCAAACGGAGGATAAGATCTGATAACGCAAAATGTTGAAAAGCTCAAACCAAATCTTCAACAAGAATTTATGCACTTAATTTGAGCCTTTGTGGTAATTAATCTTCAAGGCTCAACCATTGGTTTTCAAAATTTTCATCCCTCAAACAATTATTGAAAAGATAAGAAACGAATTGGACGATATAAATTGAAGCAATCACCTTATTAGGCCTTTGTGTAAGTAGCCAACAACCGCTGCAAAGCTACAGCTTTCTCCAAATAATTGCCAACAAAATCTAGAAGATATTAATGAGTAATGAACTTAAGTGAATAAGTTTCATTAATAATGTATCATAGAGCAGCATAAACATAAACTGCAATAGAAATCTGCAATGAACATGCCAAAAAACAATAATAAATAAAAGAAGACTGCAGAAACAGGCGCAAATGTGCATTTTAATAGGGAACCATTATTAAAGAAGAAAGGACAACAGTGCAGACAAAGAGCATTATTAATTGGAAACAAACACCTTGTTATGTCTTTTGCATGTGCAGCTAATCTCCACACCCAGTAAGCTGCAAAGTTCCTCCATAGTTTTCACTAACAGAAACCTAGTAGCAATAAAAGTAGCGATCATAAACAGTCACATAAGAAATTTCCTTTAAAATATTAACATGATCAAATATTAAGGAAACATAGAAGTGTATTAAGTTCTTATATGGGACATGAAAGGACAATCGCAGAAGGCAGAAATGCAGGTAAAATTTCTGATGTCCAAATAAGAACATAAAGAATTGCAAGACACAGAAGAAGTATTACGATGCATCAAACCAACTTAAGCTACAACAACACAATAAATTTAAACATGAAAGTTATGCGAACTTGGCAACCTGGCTGTAGGGCTTTCTATGAACTGCTTTATGAATAGATAACACAATGTCTTCGTCTTCGTCAACCACGCTCTGCTAGGGTTTCGCCTTTATGGCGAACCCTGGTGTTTCTGCTCCACTGCATCCTCGTCGATCACACTGCTCGTCATTCGTCGTTTTCGTCGATTCCATCTGTTTTGTCGTTGTCACCGTGTGTCATCTTCAGCTGCTCGCTTCGTTGTCCCAAGCAGGCATCGCATTCGTCGGGCTCGACTTTTGAGGCGTCACGCGTCTTCGACTTCTGCAGCTTCTCAGCTGCCTCACCGTAGTCCTTTGTCATTGTTTGAAAGACGAGGCACGGTCTCGTCTTTCTTCGTGCCCAAAGAGAAAGTTTCGCACCTCCGGCTTTTCCTGTTTTTTCCACTGCAACATCACTTCTCTTATCGCCGTGCCACTTTGTATTGATGATGGTTTCGGACAGAACATATGTTGCTGCCCTTGCAGGTGTTCACGCCTTAGTTACTCCTAAATCGTGTTCCTTCCCTCCTTCGTTTGCGTCGGCGGAGGACATTAAGAAACCTGGTAGAAAGAATGAGAAACCAATCATTTTTTTTACGGAAGCAGAATGTAATTAGCTTGTTTTCTCCTGTCGTTTGAATTTGGTCGGAAAATACCTTTATGACCATAAAAAAATGGAGCTTATTCGTAAAGAATTTAAGCTTATGCACATTGTTGAGAAGTGGAAAATTGGACTTCTGGATAGAAGTCACATCCTTATTCAACTAAATAATGAAGATGATTACACACGTTTATTTGCTAGAAGATTAATCTGAATTGATAATAGAGCAATGTAGATTTTGAAATGATCGGTGGATTTTGACCCATAGACGAAACCACCAATCATTTCGGTCTGGATTCACCTCCATGACATGAAATTTCATTATTTCACTTAAAAAGTTTTATTTTTTTACTCAAGCAGTAGTGTACTATATTGTCTCAGCTTTCGGTAAGCTACTTAAAAAGGACGTTCATACTTTTAATATTTCCCGTCCCTCTCAAGCCAGAGTACTTGTTGAAAGAGGCATTACTTTAATTGCTTCTGAGGAAATTTGATTAGGCACACAACATCATGTCTTTATGCATGTTTGTTGTTTGTCATCATTATTTCATGTCACAAGCGTCTCATTTGTACCCTTCTTAATTCAACAATAATAATTATGAATTTCGTGGTGGTTTGAGCTGTTTTTCTCCGATATCCATTTCCCATTGTTATTTATTTTTAGTTTCTTGTATTTTCAATTTCTGACTTCTATTAAATTACTAGCGGATGTGTTGTGTTTCTCCTCACCTTATTTCATACTGATTTCGATATAAAAAACTTAGCGAATCTCCTCCCCAACTTTGGGATAGCTTTATAAGCCCATTACTACAATGATGGAGTATTCTTCTTCAAGGTAGTGATCATATAGCATACAATATCTTTCTTCACCCCCTTAGTATCTTTTCTCTCTTGTCAGCCTATCCCATGAATATCTAACAAATGCATCCTCATCTTCATCAATGTTGCACATATCCATGAAAACAACACTTTGTTCATGATCAAAAGCATCATTAATAAAAAATATAGCATAAACTTCCACATATCATCTCTCTTTGTGCACGCCAAGGCATTCTCCAGATCTATTTCAAATTCATGTACCAAACCAGACAGTTACCACGCAACCTACTTTTGCTTACCTTCTGTAACTAATCAAATAAAATCTACCGGAAAATGTAACCCGATAAATTGAGTAATCCAACAAGTCCAAAAATTATGTTCTTTCTTTTAATGTTGAATATAATGGAGTACATATCGTTTTCAGCAATAAGTATCCCCAGTAACAGTTGATGAACCAAATCACCAAAAAAATTATATTTTTGATGCTCTGAATAACTAATCGGAAAAAAAAAATCTCAGTATTTATAAAAAAAAATCATTAGCTTCAAATTCTCTAATCAATTTATTTAAGATACCCCTAGCCCTACATGTAACCCAAGCAATATAATACCTCTCAACTAGTATGATTATATTAGATATATGCATAAAAAACAAAACCCAAATAGGATAATTCTCAAAGAGATAATGAGAGAGAAAAAAAATTCAAATAATATTCAAATGATCTTTGAAGCATCATTGAACCATTTTTAAATATTTTTGAATCGTAGTCGAACAAAGACTAAACCATTTTCAAAACATCTTTGAATAAGGAATCAAATATCAAATCATCTCCGAACAAAGATCAAACATTCATCAATGATAATTGAATATGGATTGAATAAGGATCAAATCTCATTTAAAGCTTCTTTGAATATTGATCAAACAATAATCAAATTAAATAATAATCAAACAATTTTTAAAAGAAAATCAAATAATGATCAAATAGGGATTGAAAAAGAATCAATTGTCCTCAAGGATCTTCAAATAATGATAAAACACTGATAAAAAAATCTCTTTAAATAATAATAAGAAATCTTAAAATAATGATTGAACTATCATTGAATGATGATCAAATCATGATAAAAAATGATCTAATCATATTCAATTCATCTTCGACCATGATCAGTCTATGCTTGATCATTGTTTCAAAAAGGTTTGAAGTCATTTGATCAACTTCCCAGAAATTAATCTAATATATATAGGTGCTATGATTTAGAGTTTAGACTTTAGAGTGCAAACATTGTATTCGATTCTAAATAAACCAATTGAATAATACCACTAACTTCACACACTGGATGAAGAGAAGCCATCACAATGAGATACCGCCCCGAAAACATAGGACAAAAATAGAGAAGGCACGGAGAAGAGAATGTTTCAAGTAACTTCTCTGATTAAAACATCATGTAATTGTTCTGTGAGGATTCCAATTACTTATTAAACAAAGATATTTTCGTCCGACATGAGCTTTCAGTCACATGGTTCTAATCAATAAAAAGGATTTTTGGCAAATTTCACAAACTATGGGGCATATAAAGTCAAACTTCCCATGAATTAACCCAATTACTTCACTTGAAATCAACCAAGACAAAATTATGTGATCAGTTTTGCAATTGCCTCAATTTTGAACAAAGAATGGTCATACACAAACCTAAAGAAATAATTTAAAAGAGACAAAAGTGCAAACGTGTCTAGAAAAAAACCAAAACTATTCAAATCCAATCAATCCATTAACATATTTTGACCTTGTGGTAAGCCTTATATCTTCTTCACATCACGTTTTTTCAACAAAACTAGGGCTGATGGTTAAAACAGCTAGGAAAAAGTCACATATAACAATCAATAATAAGCTTGTGAGTGGCGATCATAAAAATGACAATTAAATAGCTAGAAATATGCATATCTGTAAGCTATGGATAGTTAAATTTATCAACACTAAAATAGCTGAAGACTCAAAATTGTATAACTAATCATGAAATGACAATTAAATAGCTAGAAATATGCATATCTGTAAGCTATGGATGGTTAATTTTATCAACACTAAAATAGCTGAAGATTCAAAATTGTATAACTAATCATGAACATACTATATGCGTGCCTTTACATGTTTGATAAAATATCTACAATTTTCATGTTTCCTCTATGGGTAAGTTCACTTAAACTAACAGAAGGAGACTACTCCTTAACAGAAAGTTTCCCTAAAGCCTTGTTGGTAGAAAACATTAATCTTGGTTTATGTGTCATTGTATTTCCGATTAATTGAGTGTAAATATAACAAGATGATTTTCTGAAGGAACATAACTAAAGAACCATAGCAAGACAAACAACATAACAAAATGATTAGTTATATGCCACTCCTGACTGAAATGAGTTTTCTACAAGTATTAAAGGATGCACATTCTAGATCATAATATTGCTCAAGTACATAAGCTTAACTGCCAAACATGACACACAAGCACATAACTAAATAAAATAAGCATTGAAAAAAAAAAACAATCGAAATTAGATTTAAATGCCCAAAGAAAGTGGAAGAAGAAAATTAAGAACATTTTCTTCTTTGCAAATGAATTAAAAGTATTTTACGAAATTAATCTCCTCAATAAAGCTAATTTAAGTTCAGAAAAACGCAAAACATACTGTATTTTTGTTTCTTCTACTAAAGAAACACTGATAAAAGCTAAAACCCTGCACAGTGGATCAAGACTAGATACACTGCCAATAGCTAAGAAACCCCTTAGCAAAAAAATGCTTCCAAGCACAAAACAGATAAAGAATTTAAAAGCAATTACCTGAAGCCGAGAAAGAAAAGCACTGTATACTTCTGAAAAAAAATTTGAAATCGCAGTTAACCTGCCCAAATCACAGATTTAGAAAATGGTAACTTGAAATCTACTTTAATAGTAGCAGAAACTAAATTTCTTCAAGAAAATATAGTAGTAAAACATTTCACTAGCAATGTAATGTATGAGAATGCTTCTAACAGTTACATATCTTATAATCAATGGCACAATCGTGATCCGAATTTAGCCAAACAAGCAAAGATGAAGCATAACTAAGAAAATTCACAAACAAAACTGATGCCTGCAGTGTTCTCAAAGACATGAGTTTTAGAGAAAAAATTGTGTAGCAGTGGAGGCATGAAGTAGAAAGCCTAAACTCTAGGAAAATGAGTAGGGTCAGAGCCCACTGAGAAGTTCCACCTAAATAAACAATCAAGCAGACCTTAGTTCACTGAAGGTTTACATGCAAATAATACGCCCTCAGCACTTTGCCGTGAAACTTCTAATTGACCAATTTAAATGTCGCATGCCCTGACCACGACTTAATTAAAAAAATCAAGCATGTGCACAGTATTCAAGTCAAGATCAAGTATTAACAGAAATTCCATAGTATTTGTGAGCATGACCATCGATGATTATATATGACTTCATCATGCATTTTAATACAAGTCCAACATAAAGGCAGTCATGATTCCAGGCTTTTAGATCAATCCCAATATGAACTTCAATTTAGTTTGTTATATCATTCCTACGATGATGAAAGATATTATATAGACTGAATGCCTTCTCTAATATTTTTTAGTACTTTGTTAGATTTAGTTCCCTAAACATTTCAAATTGGCTCATTGAATTCATAGTCTACACATCTAGAAGTTCAGATTCAATTCAACAAAGGGGGTTTACAAACTGACCCAAAAATCTTGTTAATTTATATATCTCATATTTAATCTTTTATATTCACTTATAAAACTTTGGTGTCTCAATCATATCAAAACTTATATGTTAAAATGTGTTTTCACTTACATAAGAATTTACATATATATATATATATATATATATATAGAAACACACATTATCGAATGGTGTTGGTGGCGATATCGAGCTGCTCCGCTAGGGTTTCACCCAATGGCGATTCCCTGGCTTGATCGTGCTCGAAGACGACCTCCTGCGTTCGTCGACTCCTCCTTCGCCTTCGTCAAGTCTCGTTGCTTCTGTGGACGTCGAGCTGCGAGCCGCGTCGCGTGGTCGTCCTGACCTTTTGGCTCGGCTGCGGGGGCGGCCCCT